AAAATGGCCATGCCTTCATAAGAAAGTATTAGACTTTTATAAAAGAAAATTTTCTACTCATTTAGGTCAAATGCATAATGATTCTTCTTTATTTTGATTACTGTTGTGATAAATTGATTGGTTTGAAATGCCTGAACGTGTTGGATGGAGAAGAATTGGTATCCATGCAGAATTTTACTCTTTTTGTGGATCTGCACCGCGTTGCAAGAATAAAATTGACCCGAATTCCGGGTATCAGAGATTTAACATATTTAATATAACATGATCCATCTCTGAGAGGTGCATCCATCCATTCACAACAGGTACATTCCGTATCTTTTTACATATCTACTCAGTCCAATCTTGCTCCAAAAATACCTTCTATTTCGTTATTTCTTCTTTTTTCACTTAAATTTCTTTTGAAACTAAAAAATTAATACTTTCCTGTTGCGATCAGTTTATGTGTACGTGTTTTTATGAATTGTGCGCATATGTTTAAATCGTCGCATGTTTCATTCGCGTACAAGTGCGCTCATATATTCATTATGAAGTAAACTTGGTTAAATACCAAAATCCAAATCTTAGCTTTCAAAAAAAATTCAATTTTCAGAAAAAGAAATGTTATCGAAAGTAATTTTGCTGTCATTAATTACTTTCATTGGGTTTGGCACAATTTGCAGAGCAGAGGAGGAAAAGGTTCTGTCACCGAGTTATTTATGTTTTCTTTTTCTTCAAACAAGATGTCTCATTGTTTTCTTTCTTATAATACTCAGGTGTACTAAAGGTGACATTAATTATTGGTAGCACGACGTGTCACATTTGCTTGAAGATATCCTATCAATTTTTCCAACTCATAACCAATGTCTATTCCTAGCTTTATCAAATTGTTAGGTAATTTTGACAATAATATAGACATTCAACAACTATTTAGTTTAATAATAGCAAATTTGCTAGGGGAAATGCGGCCATCCAGAAACAGATTACAGCCCATGTGTCACTAGGAGTCAAGCCGACGTACTGTTCCGCCAATGTTGCCAACTATACGTACCAGAAGGATGCCATGATTTATGTCAATACGAAATTGAAGAGATTGCAGCTCGAAATTTGGTATGAAAAAGCTACTTATAAATTTACTGATTGCTTGGCTAATCATAAGAGATATGAATTTAGCACGGATTGCCCAGAGATAGTAATGAACTCCTGGATGGATTCATTCAAATTATAAATGAAACTTTTAATTTCATATTATACTGTTCGCTTACTTTTTTTTCAACCAAATCAGTTTATTCTTTTTCACAAAAGAATTTATATCATTCAATACGTTTACCACAGTAAATTTTTAGTTGATAAAAACAATTGCATCTAAAAAATGTGGCCTGAAACATATCAGTGCTATACTCTATTGTGCTTCACAAAATCAGGTAAAAATGAAATCCTTTACTCCTAAAATTTCTTTAATCAAGTACCATCGCAAATATGCAAAACGGGTTGTAAGAAACTCGACAAGATTCCAGCAATTAATATTAACAGATCTGTCTCGAATTTCAAATTATTTTTTGTTTGCTCAGAATCAATTTGACCTATATATTGCTTATTAACAACGCATTTAAATTTTCCGCCTAACATTTCAGCAAATCCTTTGAATAATAATAGAACAAATGTATGAGTTTACAATCTCTTGTGTGTAGTTTTCTTGAAGAAATAAGTTACTCTGAAAGTTTCACGAAATCGAGTTTCCTTTTCAGGATAATCGCAAATGTTGTCATCATTTGAATTTAGCGGACAATAAATTAGGAGTTGGTGATCGTTGCTTACGATTTTGTGATCCAGCAGGACAAGGAATTAATGCCATCAGTAAGAGTGATGCAACGTGTCTGTTTAACTTGAACGTAATATTATACTGTCATCAAAGTGGTATCCCACTGGATTGAGTTAAATCTTTTCTTATTTAACATTAATTAAGATTTCAGAAATATGATTCAGGATGCATTTCATGATAAATAATAGACAATTTGTCGATTAGATTAATACTTTACATAACGTATACTACCTGCTTTTTAAACGTTTTAAACCGTCTTAATTTAATTTTGTATGCACACTTTTAACTATTTTAAAGTCATAATATATAATAAATTGATGAATTATCCCAACAAATTAACAAAAATACCAGTAATCTGAGTAAAATAAGTCCACCAAACACCAAAAATAAGCACATATTTACATTGTTTGTTGACATCAATACCTCCGGATCTTCCTTTGCATATAAATTTTACAAATACCTCTAGTGCACTGTGTGCAGGTGAACAAGCGATATTTCAACGGTAAAGATGACACCTAAATAATTTTGACCAGCAATTCATTTCAGTTATTGAATAATATGTAAACAATATGAGCAAAGTAAAATATAGAAATAAATCATAAACGAGCCATAAGAAAACATTAACAAGATCACTGTACCTGTTGCATATCACTACTTGAACAATAAATCACTGGCGCAGAAGTGATATCAAATTATCAACACAGCAAGATAGAGGACTTTCAATGTTATTTACACTTTTGGAAGAAACTAATTGAAAATTAAATTAAGCAAAACATTGTTAATTTATTCCTTAGTTCAATCTGATTTTTAGTCAGTCATTTTTTTTTTTTATTTTTAGTCAGCTAGCACTTCCATCGTTAATGTCACCCCACTGCTTTTCATGTCCACGACACTTATCGAAAGCAATTGCAGAGAGGGATGAAATGAAGTGCAGCGGACGAAATTAGCATTTCTGTCATACACAAATTAACTATCAGGTGTGTATTCAGAAATTTGATGGTTTGAATTAAACGGTTATGCGTGAGTCAGTGAACAGTACCTGTATTCTTTTTGACTCCTCACTTTTCTAGTTGACTGGTCTGCTCTACTGCACTTGCTAATAGTCAGAATTCCCTGACTTTTGGTTCTCAGTTAGGATTTGTGTCCAAAATATATTTGCTGTTTGGGTAAACGATGTTTTAGTAAAATAACCAAAAACTATAAGCGTTATTATTGTTGTATCACAAATTGAATTTATAACAGCAATGACGATTATTTCATATGATATTAAACAAAGGAAAGTAAAATCGACAAAATGATGAAAACAATCGTATTACTCGAGCGATGTTACAATAAACAAACTGGCCACGATAATCAAACACATACTCGTCGTCTGGATGATGGAAGCAAACACAAATACAAGTAGCGGTTGAAACCAAAAACCACATCTGCATAAATACAATCCTTTCAACTGAAGCAAAAAATAGGAGACTGAACCACCGACATCAGACGAGCAAGATAAAATCACCAGAAATAATAATTCGCACAGGGAAATAGTAATAAACATATAAATGTAAATTCATTATGAGAAATTATTCTACTTTCCATATTTCCAAAAAGAATTAATCTATAATAGACAAAACTAAAATATGAATCCGAAGAATGATCCCAAAGAGGTATTACATATCACTACCATTAAATATATCCCAAACATCATAATCTGAAGAGCAATTTGGATTGATTCTAAAATTATGGAATCGCAAAGTAGTAAATCGTCTTCCTAAACCAATCTGTGCATCTTCTTGGTATCTACCAGAGAATATCGGTACTAAAACTACAACTTACCATTTGCGTTTTCCATGTACAGAGATAAAGGTAGACGATGACGATAATTCAAGAGTCAAAGTCACAAATTTACAGAAATTCCAAATTCGAGTTATCCAAAAAAAGGTTTTTTTTGCATCTTAATTCATCTTTAAATTTTTGCGACTTTAAACGAAAACTTATAACACTAGCACATTCGCCAGGGGAAACAATCCCTTCAAAGGACACCGGCATATCTGTTGCATTTCAAATAGCTGAAATCTATGAAACACATTTTAAAAATACATGATTCTTATGCTACATGAATACTAAAAGCCCATACTGTTATTTATGTATGTTTCAAAATGTTCCGAAACTTTCATTAATAAATAATAAATGCGCCTCATTTTAATTCGAGACATACCGCATCCAGAGAATGATGAGTTCTATGAAAAAAAATAAAATTTTATCCTGTAAATGGTAGATAACAAGGAATCAGTAAATATTTGACTTAAACGCATTCTGAGAAATTATACCGAAACCCACCATCGAACTCAAAACAGTGATAGAAGATGTGGATGGTTGAAATTATTCATGCAGGAGTGATCTGTTAACAAAGTCGATCACTATTGAGCAAAGCTGTACCGGAAGAGAACTTAACTGGATGCAGTGGTGAGAGAGCTACTCTAATTTGATGAAAGGGTGACAGTTCTCAACAACATAATCTGGAAAAAAGAATAAATATGCATACATTTGGCATAAATAATGGAGAAAATACACATAGGAATAGAAACAAACATTCAAAAAAGAAAACGCTCTTGCCAAAAATGCATTAAATGATAAAAAAAATAAGATAAAATGCTAAGAAAGAGGAGCAGATTAAGCAACAAAAAAGTAAATACAGTATGAACGCTGAAAAAAGAATTTAGAAGGCACATGAAAAGAAAAATTCACGGAATCAAGAATAGCGATGACAGAGAGTCAACTTTTAAAAAAGCATAGAACTTTTTCAGCCAAAAAGACCAATGAGCTAAGAATAAAATTTACAAGAAATAAATAATCTTAAATATAAAAATACCATTTTTAAATCATATTTTTGAAAAATCATGTAAATTTTGCGCTTCGAATGTCTAAAAGGTCATGAACTTGTAATTTTATTTCCTTAGGCTGCTAATAAGCTTTAATGTCCATTCCCACCAGAAAAAGTGAAAGAATGAATTGCAAGAAGACAAATCGCAATAAACCCGCTGAATGATTTTACCTGAACAGAAAGTCAAAAAGTAATAGAATAAAAAGAAAAACGAAGAAATGACTACTCTGTATCGAGAAAGACTTCTGAGGCAACAAAGGCAAAAAAGCGAATCGTAGCGTGATACTGAAATGGAGAGGACGAACAGAACCACACAACTAATATAATGAATTATTCTTTACGAAGTTTCTGTCGTCGATTGCAAAACCATACGCGAACTACCTGGAATAAATGAGCCACTTCAAGTGAAAATAGAAGCTTTATGGGGCGTTTATGTAAAAACAGCAGAAGGCTATATGTACAAAATCATCATGATAATCGTGATGCAGCTGGAATGGAGAATGTGGAAACCAATATGAGAAGATATACTCAGTCTAACAACCACATGATAAAACAAAGCTATGAAATAACTTACATCTCGATCTAGCCCTACCAATTCGGCGATTTCCGCCATTCTATCGTGGTCCGGACGTGGGTTCATGTCAAAGTAAGCATCCAGTGCTGAACGCTGTGCTAAATCCAAGTTGGTTCGTTTTCGACGTTTTTTCAGCGGAACACCTCCACCAGCGCCTGAACTGCACACAGTAGATCCATTTGGTGATGGTAACTCGTCGCATGGCATTTTATTACCACTGCTTGCATTAACGCTCATTAAAGAGCTCGGTTTGTTATTATTCAGTGGCAAATGTATCACCGATGTCGGATACTGAAATTCATCAACTTTACAAGTACAAAATATCTCTTCAAACTTTTGATTTTTTATTTATTAAGCCTAGCTTTCAAATAAAGACTTTCTTCTCTAAAATACAGTTCTATCTAAATCATTGGCACTTTATTTATGGTCCTTATAGCAGATTTAAGAAATCTGACATAAATAACAGACCAGATTTTATCTTTAAAGACTATAAAAAGCTTAAGCTGCTTTAATGAGTGTACTACATAAAACACAAAACTACTTTTCACTAATGCATTCACTAATGCGTTAGTCTTCACTAATGCAAGCACGTCAATTATAATAGCATTTGTTCAAGAATTATATTGGAAAAAGGAAGGTATAGTTAAAAGTCTGAATAAATGTACTAATATACCTGAAAAAAATCTGAATAAATATCCTTAATATATATGTTCGAAGACCATCGAGCAAAAATTAATCCTAAGACAAATTTTACAGCAAAAAAAACAAAGAAACAAACCAGAACGAGGATGACAGAAGACTAAATTTTAGAATCAGTAACCAAATTTCTTTGAAAATGAAAAAAAAATACGAAACAAACGACCTACGACATTCAACTGTAGTAAACACTGGGAACTCAAATCTCCAACTCTTTCATCATGTAAAACAGAATTTTGTGGCAAAACAAATAAACAGACGCTTTCGCCATAAATACTAATTACTAACTTAGATTACTAACTCAATTATTTATTTAAGTAACAGTATATGTCATATCGTCAATTATAGTAGCATTTGTTAACGATTTACAATATCACCAATTATTACTCAATCAACTCATTAAATTTTAAAAGTTTTTCACCATTCCACACTATTACCAGTGCAATAAATTCACATTGTCAAAATCTTTATCAAAATATAAACATTCCTTACCGCTGTATCAGATTTCCTCAGTTCCTATAACAAATTAAGTAATAAAGACCTCGATATTAAGTAATAAAAGTAGCAAAGACACGAAATATCAAATGTAAAATGCCATAAAGTGTGCAAAGATATAAAACAGGATAATGGATTATTCTTAAAAGGTCAAAAATGCTATTTAATGATTTCCTTATCAAGTTTTAATACGGTAGACTATATGGGCATGCAACACTATGACGTTATAACAGGAAAAATTGGAAAGACAGAAAAAGCTTAAGCTTTAGTAAGAAAGGCTTTTACTGCACGATATAATTTTAATATCTTATCCCAAATTCAGTGCAAAAAAAATAAGGGATTTCCAAAATTCCTAAAAGACGCAACATTACTAGAAAGAGATCAGAACATTTATGAATAAACGATAAATTTATTCAAATACAAATTACTTCCAAAATTTCTCGACTGACAGCACTTAAATCGTGATATGCGACCTTCAAGAGCTAAACCAACGTGCATCTCTGCATCGCTTTTAAGGTGAATTAGGCAACAGAACAACAGCATTCATTACCTATTTTACTGTTTACCTTTTATTCTTACCGGCACTATAAATCCAGTTGCACCAACTACGCTTATCTCCAGTATCAAATTTCATAGTCTAATTCACTGCATGAGTTATAAAGCTTGTTCCGTCTCAGCTTGTAATATTTCCCTTTTTTTTGTACTCCTCTGTTATAATTTCAGTTTTGCCATTAAACAATTACAGTTCAAAATAACCCACAACAAGTTTGTTTTGCAAATCATTCCTGAAATAGCAGAATAACAAGTAATAAAGTTTCTTAAGATATTCAATTGACAAAATTACCAGTTTGATGCCAAATTTTCAAAAATAACAATACTAACAATCTATGTACCTGTGATTAAAATTAAGGAAGCAGAATGAAAACTGAAAACAAGTCTTTTTCCATTTCGAAGCAGTTCTTCAAATATGGAAATATTAACTATTCATATGTATAACTTCTAATTGAATACCCCTTTTCGAAGCCTTTCTGGAACTTAAGTCTAAGCAGTTCTCAGAATCGTGCATACAGTAGCAAAATAAAATTCGATAAAAGTCAAAGTAAAATATAGGACAAGTCAGAATTACCTTCTTCCTCAAAAAAACAAAAATAAAAGAACATAATTAGCTTCCAGACCAGCTACTGATTAGGATGCATATTACAAGCAAGAATTCCCAAGAGTAAGACACTGAAATTTTGAAAGAGTTCTTAAAATATTTATATATCATCAATCTTTTCGAATGACAGTTCTCTTTCATTTCATCCAGATATTGTTCTATATCAAGCGATGTACGAAAAAACTGCTGAAGCATAGCTGATATTCGAATACAAAAGAAATTCTGAGGTATCATCATTATATGTAGTTGGAATACTTTGCAAATAATGTAAAAAATATGATCGCTGAAAGAATTCCATTAGCAAGGATATATGCTGCGACAAAAAGAAATAAATCCAACAACAAACGAACTTGTGGAATTGGCTCTTTAGAAGGTGCATCCAAGAGATCACTGATAGTAGCGCCGTTGGCCAATGCCGCTTCTGCATCCTCCAACCATTCTTTGAGCAATGGCCGTAATTTGCACATATTTTTGAAGGATAAATTTAGTGCTTCGAAACGTGATATAGTTGTTTGCGAAAAATCAGTCCCATAACGGCGTCCAAGAGCAAGACCAACATCACCTTGAGTGAAACCTACAACTGCCAAATTCAGTGAAGTTTAATTTCATGTAAAGTTCAATTTGAAAAAGCTTACAAATTACTGAAAGCAATAAAAAATTTTTTATATGCTGAACTTCAGATCTGTCTAAATTCACGAAAAAAAAAAAATTACTTGTGTTCATCAAACTGATATCATAAATCTCACCAAACTTGATGCGTTGCTTTTTGAATGTTTGAGCAAAATTTTCCAGCTCATCCAAATCAATCTTTTCTTCTTTAGTAATTGCACGTGCTGCACTGCTCAGAGTCTGGAATTAGTGCATCGATAAAAATCAAAAGTTGCAGAAAGACAACTGACATTTACCTTTCTAAAAATCTTATCCTTCAAAATTTCATTTTCCCGACAATACTGTGAATACTGAAAAAAAAAAAAATCTGAATACTAAAAATCAAAACAAAACAAAAACTATATCACCTATTCGGAATAATATGGAAAGAACCTCTTCATTTGCTCTCCTTTTAACGCTTAATTTTATATCACTAATTTTGCACTTCACTGCTTTATTCGACTGACGTTTTGGATCGCCCAACTGCAATGAATGTAAACAGCTGATATTACATTAAAGTAAAGACGGATTTACACGTTCTCAGAAATCTCCTGGATTCGTTTAGAAATATTATAGTAAAAAATTGACAAGCACAAAACGATAGCGAATAAAAGAAACATCCCATGTGGAGATTTTTCATTACTTTAAGAAGAGAGTTAGATACTAATTTGGAGAATAATAACGTATTGATAAATTTATCATGAATTCTGGAAAATGACCAACGTCTACCATATTAGCATTTTCACCAGCAGATGCTGTTCTACCATTGAGTGAAGAATGATCCCCTAAACGCTGATCGTGTTTTTTGCTGATTCCATTATGATCATCATTAAAAAAGATGTTTGGAGTACTGGTAGCAACAATTTCCGCCGTAGCAGACGTTGATGGAACTGCAGATAACTTCGGTTTAGGGCTATTCATAACATCAATCGCTGTCGCATCATTACCATTTGTTGATGTAATCCCTGTAATTTGATTCTATTTCATGGAAATTAAATGCTCGTTTCACTAAGAAACGTATTTTTTAACCTGTTTCTATAATGAATGCATTTCTTGCACTTTGTATACTTTTATACGCTCCTTTATTTATTTGCAAGTTCGTACATCGTCTGTCAAGAATTTTGGAAGTATAGAAAAAAAAAAAAAAAACTACGCAGGTTTTTAAAAGAAAGAAATGAACCTAGTAAATCTCGTATCGTTCCTGCAGCTGTAGCAGCAGCTGCTGCTTCTAAGAGCAACATATTTGCGCTTTGCTGCTGATCAACACTCATCAAACCTATAAACATTGCCAAAAACTTGCAAATAAAGTGAGTTCAAAAGTAAGGTTCCAAATTAATAGGCACGATTGGGATTTAAATTTCCAAGTGAAAGAAGGGGGAAACTAAAGTTTATATTAAAAAGCGGACATGCAGAAAAATAACGAACTAATGAATTGTGGAAAAATGCAAAGCAGTCAAGCATATATCTATTTTAAATAAAAATGAAGTGGAGTTCTTGATTTTTAAATAACACAGCACATAATTATAGCTGTGGCATCCAAGGATTGCTAAGCTTTTGATTTCATAATGAAATATTCTTCTTTAAAAAGAGATGAAAAAAGAGGCCAAATGTGGGTACATGTCGAAAAGACAAGGTGAGAATAAAAGAACATTAGTTTCTAACTCATGCGTGTATTTTATTTAAATATTTGCACGATGTTCAAAATGGAAATGACTCTTTAAGACTTCCTCTTCCATGAACACAAGACTTTTGAATGATGAGTGCTCATCTCTGATATGTTCATTAAAATTTCTTCTGCTCTTAAATATGAATAACTGTGATTGAAAAATCACTTTTGAGAATGAGAGCCTACCGGGAAAAGATAAATTATCACAACCGCCACATGAATGATGAATTGCTGTAACTGTTCAACTACTAATTTAGGTATATAATATACAAAATGCAAGATTACAGTCTCGTTGCATTACTGACAAGTTATGAGTAAAAATTTGCATTCCATCACGTTTCAAATTAAAAAAAAAAAATTACCCCAAAATTATCTCTTACCAGATAAGTTGGCAAGCAAACAGTCATTACATATCGCAGCATATAACAATACCAAAATTCAACACTTTTAGCAAGTCCTTTTTTTTTTTTGCAACAGTAAGTCTGTCAAAAGCTAATTCGAAAGAAATATTAGTTAACTAAAAAACCACACCAATCTAACATAACTTTGCGGCACAGTAAGGAATATATTTTAGTATGTTAATGGAAAGAGCAGCAAATGTATTAATTACTAATAGTAAAATAATGATTACCTGCCCACATAAAGTTCCTCAGATAATAAAAAGGACATTTCAGTCCATATGCAAATAAGCGGAGTAATAATTGCATGCGAATAAAGATAAAGCATTAGAAGGAAAAGAAGTTAAAATTACATACCATCATTGGTATAATATGGTGACGCTTTGGTTACCAATTCAGCCCGCTGATTAAATAGCAAAGTTCCACATGCAGGTAACATAGCTTCGTTTGCAGAAGTAGGCTGTAGTGGCATAAGCGGTTTTAACGTTTCATACTGCGGAGAAAGTACTTCACAAACATCCACGTATTCCGCCGGTTCTGGTACCAATTTAGGTGCAACATGCTCAGCCAAATCAAAAGCTGTTCTCTGATGCAATGAATCCGTTGCCGTTGAATGAGCATTATTAATAAGTAACTCGTGCTTCATGGACATAGCTGAACCATTCGGTGATAAACTTGCTGTTTTAAGTAACACCCTGTCATACGGCTCTACAATATTTAATAAAACTTTTTACAATTTTAAGGATTCGCGTCCCACTACTCACTGAAAACGAATCCATCACTATTCGCAAGAACTAGTCAGAACACAGAAAAAAAAAACTGCTGTTGTTAAATTTGTGTTCTATTAAACAACTTTCAGCTAAAGAATAGGAGAGTAGGATTACCATTCGGATTTACTGATATATGGCACGCGTCGCTTAGAAAACATGCAATTCACAGCAATGGTATCTCAGAAGTTCATGCAATAACCTTTGACTGATGGGAACAAAAGGTGCAAAACTACTATTCTAAAAATAATGAGTCGAATGCTAAGAAGTGATGAGGAAGCATGCGTTTCGTAATAAAATTATTTCAAGCAATGTCTGTGATGACAAAACAGATTACAATTGCATAAGATGAAGCGAAAGACAGAATTTAAGAGGCAGGAAAATTGGCAATACTACACAAGCAAAACATGCTCATCAATAGAAATATTTGCAATTCGTAAAAATATTAAATTAAACATACTGTCGGTAAGGTTGGAGGCACATGGAACGCTTAAAGAGGGTGATAAACCAGCAGCTGAGAGAGATGCAAGCATTTCCGGAGTGATGAAAGCATTTGCTCCATCCGTTCCGGCAGCTACAAATATTTTTTAATAACGATAATTTCTAAACCTTCTATCAGTCGGCTAAAGATCAAAAAAATGTTTTATTTGAGTGTTTAAAACTTCAAAAAGTATGTAAAAATAGGAATTCGTAATTATGAAGCTGTCGCTTTTGAAAAACTTCATTTGATCAATCTGTAAATTTCAGATCCCGAAATCCTGTGCACACTAATAAGTCTGTTCTATCTCATATTTCAGACGCTACATCTAAATTTAATCAAAACATAGCAAGACGGAAAAATAAACGAAGAACCAATGTACTGACCTACAAAGACATAACTCCAAAGATATATTATCGAATTCTAATAATAATTTAAAACAAGATGAAAATCACAAGATATAGCTTCGGGATGTATTGTCAAATCTTAATAACTCGAAACAAAATCCCTATTTTGAAAACTTTACCTGCATTGGCCCAAAGAAAACTGTTCACTGCAGCATTCAAAATCAAGACATCATTCAAATTCGATATATTCGAACCATTCCGTTGATCCACAAATTGTTCGGAGAGCTTGCAAATTTTCGTATCGGTCGCTTCTTGATATTTATTTGTTCTAAAATACAGTAAGAAAAAATTCGAAGCACTTGCACAGCAACAGAACCTCAAGTCCTTATAAGTACATAAGTCCTTAACAATTCGACTTTCTCTTTTCTAGCATAGAGATTATCTTCTATGTTTTCATCATATCTCGGTAATGAGTTATTACCAAAGTGAAGCCAAGTAAATACAGAAGTTAAGATATCTTTGCAGAAATAACTAAACAGTGAGATGTTAGTTGATAGTGCAGTCAAGAACAATGCAATGAAAGAATACTCAGACTCTTTATAAATATTCAAGAAATGTGCAACGGAAGAGACAAATTTGTAGCAGTAAATTTGCAAAAAATTGGAAAATAGCATATTTAACCTGAGCACATATCCTGAATGTAACTTTTATATGACCACACACCATGCACACTTCCTTCGCGATTCCCTTACTGTTAAACATAAGCAAATTGATGAAACAAAGCACCTGTCCACTGAACTATCGGTTTGTGAAGGTGAATTCTCGGTAAGTTGTATATCCACAGGTCCATGAAGAGCCTTTGATGAACCCATATTATGTTCAGTAGAATCCACATAGTCAATTATATCTGTGATAACAGACGATTCCACACTTTGTTGCTTTCCATTAACATCTTCTAACGACGATAAGCTGTTTGACCGTGTATCTATCATCAGTGCATCGGAAGTAGAAGAGATCGATGAAGTTTCCCAATGTTCCACTTTAATTTCACCATTTAGGAGCTCGCTATCACAATGCAAACTAAAAGATGTTAGTAGTGCACAAACATGTATTATCTTGTGCAAAACTGTTACTTCTTCGTTACAGTACCCTCGAAAGTCATACAATGTAATAAATGTTACCACGACAGAATTATGAAACAATTACTTCTCCATAAAAGATCTGTAAAGAGAATTATTTTAACTACTCCATTACTTCGCTCCATTGCCTCATACAGATTCCCTATTCAAAAATTTCCGTTCTTTAACCAAACTTTCCCCTCTCTACTACAAACGTTTTGCATTTGACTGTGCCTAAATAATTGCTAATGGTTACTTCGTAGTACGAATCCCTCACTGATACAATATGTGCTAGCACTTTTTCAATCAAAAAACTTGCAAAAAGCAAAATAAACCTTTTTCGAGCAAAAAACAATTAGGCGTTACTAACAAACATGTATCAGAAACTTACAGACAGTTACAAAAGGCAAATTTTGAAGCAGAAGAATTAAAAGAGGAGAAATGGAAACAGATGTCTTTCCACTACATACATATTCGCTGCATCAGTTGCACCACACAAGTTTGGAGGTATGCATTTCTCTGTCGTTGATAATAATCGTTGTAAATCAGTGCCACCTTTACAGAAGTCAGCTGATTCTGCAGTTTTTCCTTTCATGTTGTTATTCTCTGCAATACTAAATATTATAAAAAATTATCGTTATTTAACTACTATAAAGCACCAATTTATGAATTTCAAGCCAAGTTTCTAAGTTATGCAAAAACATCAAACCTATACCAAATCTACAATCCTTGCCGGCGATAACATTTCCTGATGAACAAACCGAATCTTCCGTAAGAGTGGTATCATCATCAACAGCTTCACCCGTTTCAGCACTTATGATCACAGGCTGAAATTCATACAAAAAAAAACAATTTAAATCGCACAAAAAAAAAATAGTGAAAATAAATTAAGTGTTTCACCTCCTGCATAGTGCTGGGTCGTTTTTTTGGTAAGGCTGGTTTGCGTTTGCACGATGATCTGGAAACGCTGTTATCCGCTAAAATGAAATGAATCATTTATATAATTTTTAAATTCTAACAAATTTGCAAAATATGCAAATTGAAGATTTTACAGTCCTCAGCATTTACCTCTATAGAATAATGTAAACTATCACAAAAATCGGGTAAAAGTGTGGCGCTAAAATTTATGCTAGGAACTAGAGTAAAACAATGAAGTCAAAGTCCCATTGCATAAACAGTAAACCAGAAATGGGAATATGTCACATCTACACTCCAGTGTTTTTCCTTTTTTTCTAATTCTGGGATACACAATTACTATAAACAAAAAGAAACAGTTTTGTGCAAATCAGGTTATAAAAGCAACTCAAAGTGATGGCAGAAACGATGTGGGATTCGAACCCTTACTAACTAATGGTTGCCGCCGATCGAGGAGACTATTTGATGATATATTCCTGCAGCTTAAAGCCGTACTCGTGCTTGCTTCAATATCAGATGTATCAGTCACCAAAGTTTCCGCACTTGCTCTTTTGAGCCCTCCCTCCTGCCGTTTACAAGCTGTAACCTGAAAATTTCAACACTTAAATTAAGTTGAAATTAGACCAAGTGAAGTTTCTTAAAAGTGCAAAGAGATGTCACAACAGTAATCGAAATCCCTTTCTAAAAATGTATCACGTTGGGAAACAGATACCAACAAGCAGAACAGACCACAAACAACACACAACATCGTGTCATTTTGCAATTAAACTGGAGCTAATTTAAATATTAGGAACAACGATATGACACAAAGTGTGTAGTAATAGATGGCGGTAAGGAACCAGTCCTGAACAGGTTTCACATAACTAGCTGGAAACAAAACGTCATTCGGTCCTACAGTTTCTAACGTTTTGAAAAACCTTGACACGGTGACAGTTTCACACTGTCCCGGAATTTGTGAAACACCGCACTAAAAGAAAATTGATGCAAATTCAATAAGGCGGTGGCGAGAAGCAAGGGATTGAGGGTTGCAGTTTTCCGGCCCAGGTATTGTCCAGAAATTGGTTGAAAGTTTTGAATATAAATATCTCCTGTTGATTTTTTCCAATCGAATGAAGTCTCACTCCCATCAAATTAGCCTATTTAAATATGCAATACACTTCACTCCTGATCCCTCTCGAACAAGTTTGTTCTCTTTACGAAGTGAGTTACATAGTCTGACTGAAAACCGGAAATTACATAAGGAAAATGATAAGAGATAACAGGCAAACCTGAAATGAGATTGTTTCATCAACTGGCACATCACTTGATACATTTGCAAGGTTCTTCGATATGCCTGAGCCTGAAAGAAGCTGATGATAGTAAGAAGGTCAGACGAAAAGTGGTGAATTAGAAATGTAAGATGGGGTCAGATTTCAAATTCTGCTTCTGCTGCGAAAGCTTCTCAAGTAATTAAGCCATTATTGTGTGAAGTTCAACAAATGCGTGAAGTAGTAAATTGGGTGAATAACAAGAAAAAGCTGGGGAGCCACCAAATCCCGTCTCAGAATCCTTTGATCGCTTCATAACTACTGCAATGGAAACTTGCAGCAGCCCAGTCAATCTCAAATTGTTTATTCCTCTTACTACACATCAAAGGGATGTTTAGAATCTGCAGAAATTTTATCATCATTTCGTAGCATAATTGAAGATAAGGCAGTGTTGTCGAGCGGAAGACAGTCCTTCAGTCTTTTCGTTTCTTTCCTTCTATCTTCATCATGAATCCATCCATCTCTTTATAAATTGCCTCTGACAAGACAAGATGACATTAAACACTAATCTTTGTAAAGTGTCAGATAAGGCTGTGTCACTACACAATCGTATCATTCCCACAGCACATTAGTACTCGAATTTGAAGTACTATTATAAATACAATAACAGTGAGATTATCTAAAAGCATACCTTCCATAGGTCTTCCCGCATTTGTATTAGCAGGTTCATTTCTAGGTTTGTTGTCTCGTGAAGTACACTCAATAAACATACTTGACATTTTTGGCCAAAAATCGATGAATTTCACAGCTTCCCGTAGATGTTTACATCCAGTTTTGTTCCCGAATCAAAAATATACAAGCAAATTACTTTTTCTACAGGATCTCTAACTGTAATCGAATACATAACATATCATCAATTATTATAAGTAGATCGAAGATATGCGCACATTAACATAACTTTAATTTCAACACTAGTTTTTTTAATCGTCAAAATTCTTAGTTCCTTTCTCCCACTTCTCTTATTTAATTTCTTCCTGCTAACTTAATTTCCTCTGTTTCACTAGCAGCCATTAGAAAATTTCCTTAGTGAATTAAATGGTTTAAATTTTTTCTTAAAAGCGAAACTTCATACTGCTCACAGTTAAAGCTAATAATTTACATTCAAATTATTAGACAAATCACATTCTCTACTTAAATAATTTGGTAAACAAGAAATCAACCGTGAAATGATGGGTAATAAAATAAGTAAGCTCATAATCATTAAGAAATCTGGAAACACTGGACTAAAAGTTAAATGAAAGAAAAGAGGGAATGTTGAACGATACTACATGTGTCACTTTGTAAGTGAATCGTCGACTTTTAAATCTGTTATCAAATTCTGAAGGCCAGTCACAAGTTGATAAATTTGTCGAATAAAACGATTATAATATGGTACTTTCTGCCTCTTTGAACTGGATTCCTTATCTCTGAATCGTGATAAAATCATGATAAAACAACTGTGGATGTATACAACGATGGTCGTTAGAATTACTTTATATTGGCAGATTGACCATTTCATATAAGAATATCTTAAACTACAGTACCAAGCCTACAAATATGAATGGTCAAATTTGAGAATAACTGAAATCTAGTACTGCAGAAATCAGAAACAAAAATGAAGCAAAATGTGGTAAAAAGTTCAACACAAACTCAGATGATTGAAATAAAAAGCAAATTAAAATTAACCTATTATTTAGTATTGGCATTCCTATTCACCGCTTTCGTTCTTTCATTAGCTAATTTCCATACTTTTTTATTACCTATGCAACGATTAAGTCAAATTAACTATGTAAAAGCACTGCTCATACCACAATTCAAAAATCTGCCAAATCAACTGTGTTGGAGAAGGTATTAAGCTTTGAGATGAAGTAACCGCTACACATAGGTCAATTCCAGGTCACTGCAATAGTGAACAACTACAGAGAGCATTGTACAGCTTGCAGTGGGATGGAAATAAAACAGTTGTTATTGTACGTATGCAAATGCATATATATAATATCGATGATGATGAAGACGATATTAAATTGTGTACGATAGATGTGTGTGTCTATACATAATACATTTATAAATGAATAAATAAATAAAATAAAATAGATAAATATATATAAGTGGAGTGTATGGGATAAGTGTATGTGCGAGTTTATTTCTCGCAGAGGGAACAAAATATGCATAAAATTGATTCTGCCCTGTTCCATTCCAAAAAAAAAACGTTATTACGTATATCTATGGAAAGGGAAATTCATCACTGTTGTCGTTGTCGCTGTCTTTTGTTGGTGTGTTGGACGAAGCTTGAAGAGAAAGCAGTGGAAAGGAGAAACGAAGTGGGCAGGAAGAGATGTCCACTTGGCTTGGGTATTGCTTGTAATACTGTCCTTTAGTGCTAGAGAGTAAGTGACTCTACAACAATTCGTGGCTGCCATATCACGCATACGTATACCGTAGTGCAGTACTGATAAACACTGCAGCAATCCGGACGTGGAACCAGCGTTGCAGTTATCAAGTCAATCGGATAGAGTCCGTACAAAGTGGTTTACTTGTTCTGGTAAATGAACGAACCGGGAAGTATGCACATTGCTCCGAAACTGAAAGCCATCTGGTATTTGATATTTAAGCATTGCGTATCAATCGATGGTCGCATGAAGTCCTGCCACTGTTTTCTCTCTTGACAGCATGATGACTAATTTCAATAAATTTGCTGATGGGACATAACTGAAAGAATGAGATCAAAATGCCTATACCTCAAGAATATTCTGTCGTGTCGTATGATCAACTATTAGCAATCAATAAAGGGATGGTTGTCTTGTGAATAAATATAATACTGGCAAATAGAAAAATCCAAACAATATCAGAGAATGAGCTAAAGGATGACGAGCAGCGTCACGTAAGCTTAGGTACTTAATTGTTCTAACAAGTAAGTAGCTATATGCACTTTCCACAAACAAATATTTAAGAAGTAAAATAACTGAGAAGGTGATTGTGGAAAAAAACGAAGCGATGAGCATAGTTGTTGAGAGTCGATGAAGTAATAAAGCGGAATTAACGCTGAAAAATTCTCTGCCCGACTTTTCCAAATGGCATCTCTATCATCATTATCATCATTATTTTACATTTAACTGTCGCCTTCTCTAAACGATAAACGATTCTCGCACTATATGATAAATATATACATAATATATGTAGACACAATTTAATTTTTAGCAAAAGTGCAACTTTTTTCTTAGCTGTAATTTATGTGGCACATGTATATTCTCTGCTTAATGCCTCACAACTCTTAGTACTTGCATTAATTTCGAGATCCCTAGTTCTAGAAAGAAGTTTGAAGTGCAAATAATACAAACTGTATTTATAACTTTTTTTGAAACAGCAACGGCGTAATGGGGAGTGATAAGTACTGTCCTAGTGATATAAAAATAGTGATGATAATTTCCTCCTGCCTTATTCTGACAATTATTTTTAATCGCGCTTGTTGTAATCTATATGAATAAGGTTGACAACCATTACTGCGACGATGACTTGCAAGAATTCAATTCTTTTTTGCAGAGTATATGCAGTTACCCTTAACACAGCATAGCAGTCAATGTATGTGTGTGTATGTTGTATATATATGCATATATTATGATGTATTGTATTGGCTGATGTGTACACAAATTCATATTCTCGAACTACTTCTAAAATTACATATGGGCACAGATGAAAGCATTCTTCTTTGCATGCGGTACCCATAAACATCGATTTAGGTGAAATGATGTCTTTTTATGGATGTATGGGAGGATAATAATTTTATAGACCTTACAGACCACGTAAAACTGGCCACTGTATCCGTATATCATATCTTAATTTTCTACTACGAGCCCTAAAGCTTTCAACTAAAATTAGCTCATCCAAGAGTCGAGCAAATTTCAAAACTTCTCATCAGTTTTTGTTTAACTGGATAATGATTCCAGTTTTGATGAAATGAGAACAGTTAGCAGCATATCTTAAACAAATGTACAAATTTAAATCGAATTTAATTTTACATAGTAATAAAGGAAATTGACGAATGATTGCGCACCAACACAAACGCATCTTTATGCATATGTATGGAAATTAAAATGAAGTAGTATTGTGGTAGTTCATCAGAATTAGGTAAATTTCAAAGAATAGAGGGTGAACGAAGTGATATGCGCAATTTTGTATGCACGGGTGTTGTGTCAATGTGTTTATGTGTGCTGATGTCGCTGTCGGTATGCATGTATGTATATATATATATACGTATATATATATACATATATATATGTATGTGTGTATGCGTGTGTGTCGTTTGCGATTTCAGTGTAAACTTGAAATGAAACGAAATGTAAAATGCATACATTTTATGCATAGAAGTTAGTGATTTGTGATAGATATTGTGAATTGCGTCGTTGTTGTATGGTGTGATTCTACGATCGCAACGGGAAGAAGTCAAAATTCGAATCCCTCTCTCCAGTCCTTGCTCTTCTTTCTCCCTCTCCGTATTTGCTACAACCCCTCGTTATCATCTCAATTGAATTTTTGACCTTAATTACTTCTGACCAACTGCACCGCAATTGGAAATTTTTAAATGATAATACAAAATATGGGAAATCATGATTTGAGCTGTTTGACAGAGGATATAGACAGTATCATTAAGTAAACGAATAAATTAATTGCGCAAATGTCGAAATCAAAAAATGGACAAACTAGCAGGCAGATGAACAACGAATCTATGTGATGACTAGGTCAGGCACATTTATTACGATGTTGTAAGATTCATAAACCTGATTAATATTTTGAAAAGGTCAATGAAGCAATGACCAGTGATAATGAGAGCGAATATTTAGCATTTGATTTCGATTATTATTTCAACGATTTCGGTATTTTCCAAAAATGTTTAAGATCAGTAAGGGAGTGATAAGAGTGACTGACAATAAACTTCAAGCATTTTGTATTCGGCGTAGCAGGATGAAACGTATAAATGTGTTTCGAAATAAGAATATTTAAATTATCTGAATTTCATCGCCTGGTATAAGAAATTAACGGGAAATCTTTGAGACATAATGAATTAAAGATGAAAAGTCACTATAATGCAACAAAGTTCAGCCAGTATGGGATTTGTTTGCTTTCTCGTTTAACTGTTATACGAGGACAAATCGGACAGCATAAAAAAGATTTCGAAATTTTCGACTGCATGAAGTTTGAAAATCAATCAATAAATTTATTAATATCAGTCAAATATGCTTAGAAGTAAATGCACCTGGTGACTGATGAAATATCTGTTATACAGCGATAAGAAGAAAAATTTAGAAAATGAATTCGTTTAAAAAAGTTAAGGAAAATGGAGTTGCAGAACTTTCGAGCAGTTGCAAAAATGCATGCTCTCTGACTTCCTGTGCATCTTCATTCTGCTTTTTCTCTCTCTACACAAGTAATGTTTACTTAAAAAAATGATGAAGGAAAGTATCATTGTGTTACGCATCAAACAACAACAATAACAACGATGATAACATAGGAATGGCACTGATGACAGCATAGCATTACACATTTTTGAGACATAATAAGTTGCAGAAGAGGTTCAGATGTGATGTGATGAGTATTCCTATATCATATCATATCATATCATATCACATCACTCATGGATTCACTGAAGATCGATTGATTGCAACGACTCCCTCAAACACTAATTAATTGTCGGTGCCATCCGAAGTAGTATCATCGCATCGCGGTGATAATGACATAATATCATAAACACACTTTCCCATCAAATGAATTAGTTAATTTCTCTAGACAGACACACATACGCGCACCACGCTACCACAATTATAAATAATACTTCACGCGCCTAAATATGCATATTGTTTTGTCCAACTGTCTCTCTGTCTATTTCTATTGTCTGTCTGTGTGCGTGTGTATGTGTGTGCTCATTTTAAACCTCAGTTTGTAAATATTGCAGGTGCCAGCAATTGTTCTCGAAAGGTTTAATTTGTTTTACGCAATTAAAAAATATCGAGAATGCTTGAAATGGATGCCTTTGTATGTGTATATGGTCAATTTAATAATTAATTCTGCAAAACAAATAGCAACTCTTAAGTGATTACAAATAAATGTATCCAAAATCTAAAAAGGAGGGAAAAAGAGGAATGTCGATTTGTCAAATTATATGCACTTTATGCATCGTAATATTTAGAAACTTCTCATTTTCTCAAATCCAAAACTTTCTAAGATAGCAGGTGGTTTGATCTCTACTGCATAAATTTTGAAAAATATGATATCTTAAACAAGGGTATTGATTTGGCCATCGATCAATAATTGCTATCTCTAAACTTAGAGTCTATAAAAACTTGTTTGATAATGCAGGAAGCTTTATCATTGTGATGAAGCTATAAATGCATTCTCATCAAAAACTAAAACAAATGTAGCGCAATCAAAATGACATGCCAGACGATGATGGTCCAAAAATTCCAGTTTTAATGAGTATGGATAGATTGCTTGCTACTGTTACTATTCCTACTGCGGTAATTTTCGCATACTTGATTAGAAAATTTGCAAAACCAGATTTTCGAATGGTATTGGATAGAGAAAAAAGCCTGTGCGAGCAGGAGAGGAGAAAATAAACGATACAATCGGTAAAGGTAGTGAGTCCTACAGAAAAATTAACCAATATTCATTAAGGAAGTCTACGTACAAGATCGATGAATAAGTGACAGTACATTCGCTTTGCTGAATAAAACAAATCGATTGCTACTAACAATTAGAAAGTGATTATGAATCGCTGCTAAAAGTTGCTTACATAATTCTTGAAAAAATAGGAAATATGAATAAAGTTTGATTCGGTAATGGTTCAAAAGATCGTTCACTAAGATTCCTCGAAAATGCTCCGAATTCAGCGCATAAACAAGAAATAGGAAGCAATTACAAAACATTTGCATAACACAGAGTATAAAATAGTCCTTTTCGAAAAATGACGTATTCCGTATCACTTACTGGTGATTATTTCACTTCATGACTAGTTTGTCATACGATATCAGTCATTTCTTCTTCAAACATTTTAGTCATACAGTTGCATATGCTTTATTAAATCTTTGTGCATTTACAACAATGAACTACGAAAGTTGTGAATGCTTACTTATACGCAGATGAGTAATGTTAACAGGCTCGTTATGGATGAATATATAATTTATTCGCAGCTAGACTAGTGTCTAATGGCGCAATTACAGGAGAGAATTTGGATAGTTAATTTGTCTGAATCGATTAATGAAATACTGATAGTAAAACTTCTGTCATTTGTTATAAATTATTTAAATTTAGTAGATGGCTCACAGTTTATACGCAGATGATACACAACACATATACAATACATTTTAGTGTTGACTAATTTTTAAAATGCAAACATAACGCATTGTCCTTTCATCTGCATTTATAAAATATAATCCTAATATAATCATTCCATTGTTATTGAGGTCATTTTAATAATATTCCCGAGATAATGAATACATGTATAATATAAAATATAATATACGCTTCGAATAGTTAAGTGATCAGATAAAATTAAACGATTAAGAAGGATAAGTAGAGAAGCGTACAAAGCCGCTTTTAATGCAGGACTCGAGGTAATGTTGCTGAAAAGGGTTTCGTTTTTTTTTTTTTTTTCTCTTTTTTTCTCACTGAAGTAATTAAATAGTTGAAGAAGAAGCAGGACGGTTGCTTAGATCTGCATATAGCCAGCAGCTATATACATAGCTGAATGAATAGATAGAAAGATGGACGGTCGGACGGACGGACGGACGGACGGACAGACGGATGGACAGACGGATGGAAGGATGGATGGATGGATGATGGGCGAAATAAACGAAATGGATTGAACAAATAAATGAAAATTCTTAGATTTGGCGAAGCTTTTTATAACTTTCTGGAATTAAAAAAAGTAGCTCAGGACTTTTTTTTTTTGTTCGTGGAGAACCGCTTGCTATACAGCTCTTTTGCGGAATGCTTTCGGCACTTGTGCACACACACATACACACTTATATCATGGAGACACACAAGCATACAAATATCCCGGGTGTTTTGCACCAAACAGCCGTCCCAACTGAAGAAAGCAAAATATCGCGGCGAAGTGTATACTTAAGTTTGGAAGCTCGAAGGAAATCCAGCGAAATGCGAAACTATACGAAAATTTTGTTGAATAAATCATCAAATGGCTGAATAGAATGTTTCTCCAAATTCTTTATTTCCTGAACAGATGACTGGAGCAGACGACCGTATTCAAATCCATACTTTGATGTCAACTGCTTAAAAGTGGAATGTCCTCGCCATGCTAAATTTGATCGCATTGAAGATCGATGGATCGTGAAAATAGCTGACATGTCCCACTAATACGCCGAAATCCATAACAAAAGTTGTTTTGTTCCGTACAGCCACTCGCCACTCACAATTCAGATTTTCAGTATTACTGAACATAAAGCTCAGAATTTTATCCATTCTAGTTAGTATCATTTCTGAGATAAAAATTAAAAAAAACTCACAAATATTTTTTAAATACTCATATATCGAAATGCATTAAAAATATTCAACCATTAAAACAAACCACAAATAGTCATCAACAAAAAAGATAGCCAAGAAGAGAACTTTAAAAAAAAAAAAATTATTCCTTCCTTAACAATTTTAAACTATCAAAAATAGCCTGAAAAACTCCAGAATACCAACCTTATTAGATTCAATACGACCATGAAAACCATTAAAAATGACGTTCTAACAAAGTTAAAAAGCAATAGCTTGCGAAATTATAACGAACATACCGATGTAATAAAAAATAAACAAAGTAAAATTCAAAGAATTTACAGTTCTTCATTCTGTCATAAATTAATATTTTTTTAAAACGTAGAGACAAGTTTCCTTACCTCTACCACACTACCACTTACGCCTCTGTATGCTATTGACGGATGCTTTATACCACTTTGTTTATTAATATACCAAAGAAAATCACTGTTCATTAAGCAAGTTCATGAGGTATTATTACAATAAATAATGCACATGAAATGAAATATACAAATATAAAATAATAAATTTTTTTGTACTTGAACAAATTTGTTAGAAAGAATAACGAGTGCAATTCTGGTACCATAATGGTAGAAAACGAATTGTTGAAATATGCTGACAATAGCAAATTAATGAAATTCCATCAAGCAGAGTTGTTTTTTTATAACAAAATCTCTCTCTCTCTTTCTCTCTCTCCCTCTTTCTCGCTATCTCTGTCTTTCTCTTCCTCTCACTTCTCCATCCTGCACTAGCTTCCTTCATCACTGCTCTTCAACAAAGTTCAACCTTTGAATTTTACAATATATATATATATATATATATATATTAGCATTCACTTCATGTGAATAATGTGAAAGAAATATTCTTGCATTGATTTTAACACTTACTGAATATTTCAGGATGAACTCACCCTTGGCTACATTTTTGTAATTTTTGAAAAGTCGAAAATTTGTATGAAAGATTAAAAACAGTTATTATTTTGTCTACCTTGAAGGCAGTAAATTTTTACTTTGAATGTAGTAAGATATTGCCTTATCATTTGCATCAACCCAAGTAATACTTTCCTGTTAGAATCAAAAGTTGCCAAAAACGCTATTTAAGATTTTAGGCCATAGAAAATAAAAATACATTGCCTTTATTGAAGTCTGCAATCACTACTACTATATGGTAAATATAATTTAGCTTCGACATTATTTCGACAGAAGAAATGAATGATAATTGTGCGATTGCTAATTTGTGAATTATCAAATTTATCACAAATTTGTACATGAATAAATAACTGGGCGAGAGTCAAAAACATAATTTTTTTGAAGGATGCTGTGGAAGAGACAATAAAATTGCAAATACTTTTTAATTTTGAGAGCGGAACGAACATTAGCAAAATCTATTCAAGAACTTTACATACATTTATTTAATCCTTTATTTATATTACATCTTCAAATACTGCAAATAATTAGATGTGTGGATAATAGAGGATGCTGATGGAGGTGATAGGGAGTGAGAAAAAAAAGCGGATCGCGGATTCTGATGAAAAGAAAAGCGGTACGTATTGCTAATAAAAAAAATAATTAGATGTATGATTAATATAGTCTTAAACCTTACCATTTCAATTCAGAATAACGAAGAAATCATTTGAACTTGAGAAAATATACAAAATCATGAATCGACCATACAAAAAGTAATCATTAATCGGCTTAGAACGATCTCGGCAATGAAATTTAACGCCAGCTAATATCTTTGTCAGCTTTGAAAACTTTCAAATTACACGAAAACATTCTCATTAAGATAATTTTTGATCCATAAAATCACCTCTATAGTTTGCTTGGAGAATGATTGATTGAGTATTGCTTGATAGCATATTCAACTAGCTATCTTAACTCCTACCCTCTTTTAATTTAGCTTTTTTTCGTTTAATTTTATTTAACAAAAATTCTGTTAAATAAAACTCATAATCAAATTATTTCCGTCTTCTCCCATACTGATATAAACAGAAGGTCAAAAGCATAAGATGTTAACACGGAATATATTATCTTGTCCAAAGTTTCAGATGTTTCCAATGAAAATTAGGAATGTGAAAGGGAACTGTGTGTGTCTGTCTGTCTGTATATATATATATATATATATATATATATATATATATGTGTGTGTGTGTGTGTGTGTGTGTGTGTGAAAGGATTTTAATGTGTTCTACAATGATAAACTTCCAGACTGATATAAGCTCACTATTCACTAAGTGAATTCAGCAAATTTAACCACTGCTAGAGTATTTCTTGGAGAACTTAGTGAACAAAGAGTGACGCACAATACTTTCACGCAAGAATTTGACTCAACTGCTAATCTTGCTAATTACCAGTACAAAAGCACCAAATGAATCCTTCATAAAAAGGATATTACTAAAGAACATGGTGCCATACTGATTGGTTTATTTTTTGTTATTTTTTGGCATCACGGCATGTCGGTGTTATTTAACATACTTTTTTTTGTCTGCGAAACAATCTGGTGATCGCGAATGGTCGGTATGCATGCGCAGACGGTTATGCAAAAAGGGAAAGATTCGTCAGCAAGTCAATTAAAAGCGATATGTATCAATTACTTTGTTTACTTTTCCATCAGCAATCGAATAAAAAATTATTTTTCCCATCGCTGAGAAGTGGCTGTTACGGCTGCTGTTAAGAGTTCACAGATCATATTCAACTTAATTGATATAACCAAATTTTCTGCTAATGAAATGTTTTATGAAAAGTCTAAAACTGTAAAAGATAGAGTGGTCTTTTCATAACTGATAACAAAGTATTAAAAGAATAGGTTTATTAGAGAAGACTAAAGGAATGGAAAGAGATGAGAGTGAGTGTGACTTGGTATCAGAAAGAAGGCTGAGTGAATCATCAATATCAGGACAAATGACAAGGAAGTGTTCTTCACATTTCATTTTATGAATGTGGTTGGGGTTCTATAACATTTCATTAACAAGATTTACATCAAGCAGTTCGAACAAATGCTTATAAATTTTCAGCTTCACGGTAATTAAGAAATACTAAAGGATCAGTTCGATGAAAAATTGTTATCTTGACAATTGATGTTCAAATTTTCAAAATTTTGCTTTCAAAGAAAAAAAATTTCAATAAGAAAAAGATACCAGCTTTTTAGCGTTGGAAGTTAGAATAATTTTATTCCGGGCATATTAGCTAACATACAATTTTACGAATGTCGAGACCGACGATACACTGATCGATAAAAGGCACTTCAAGAGTGACGGTTGAATTTGATTCAGTAAAATGAGTTTTTTTCTTCTAAGAATTCCTGTAAAGTAATGGAACCTCCTGCAAAGCAATTCGACTGTCACGGGGTCAGTGTCTAATTCTCTTGAACTCTTTTCTTTACTGAATAAGTTCTTTTCTTCTAAGAATTTCTATAAAGAAAATGGTCGAATTACACTTTATATCTTTCATGCTTATCCGCGATTGTAGGTACCTCGATAGGTTATGCAAAAGCAGATGAAAGCAGGAATAAGATTAAATGGATCGCGTAGTGTGTTTTCAGTGAACATCGAAGTTTTTGACGAATAAAAAAGGATAGAGGAGAGAAAGGGAGAGGTAAGAGGTATCACATTGTGAGTCTCCTCGAATGATTACCTTGGTAGGTCTGGTTGGATCAGTTTCAAAAAATAATGGTGCTTAGAGCTTAGAGTGAGATAGCAATGTCTCGGCTCTGTATATGATAACGATGCAAACACAAACTTCACAATATATTCCACTGAACTTACAATCATATTTTGGAGCACGATTTTAACTCCAATTTAAATGGAAGAAGTGGGAAAACTATTCTTGGGAACCAATTCGTATTTAAGGACAGAATCCTGAAAAGAAATCTTTTTCAGCTCTCGCAGTACATCAAGACTGATTGACTGGTTGAAAGATGAACTGATGATCAGCGATACAATCCACATATATCAAGATGGCCACTGATACTACTGCAATGGACCAATTTTTCGCTTTCCCTTTGCCTTACTCTTTAATTTCACGTTACTGCTATTCTTTAGTCCTTGTTAGTAAAATAAGATTAAAAGTTAACTTACTTCTTCCTGCTCGACATATTAAAACATTCATCTGATATTGGATTTTTGAACAGAATTCGAAGAAACTTATTCTCTGAGGCAATCACTCTGGAAAATTTTCGCAACGCACTGTAATTTTATGCAAAATTTTTTTAGTAAGAATAATGCAAAATGGAAAGAGAGAGAGAGAAAGAAAGAAAAAAAAAAGAGAAGGGAATATTTTGGAAATGTAATGCGGAAGAGAGTTTTACTGAATATGAAGCCTTGAAGCCTATGTACGACACATGCATGTACATGACCATAAATAATTTTCAAATTGAGTGCATTTGGAAAAAAGCACCTTTTACTTCATTCTTTCACTGTCAAATAAATATGCGTATATTTTCTGAATGTATTGCACTTTATCACTTTAATTATTTACAAAAATTAATGATGAATTTTTTTCCATGAGTTATACTTTTGTGCTTCATTTACTTGCTTTACTTTAAAAGTTTATTAAGATAGGTTAGCGAATTTGGATGAATGATGAACAGCGTTGAGCAAAAACGAAGCATACAAAACATGACCCACCCGGAGTTTTCAGTGCAGCTGCGTGCTCGAGATTGTTGCAAACCCAAGCGATGTAAAATTGTTCGAAATTGTGCTTTTTCACATTCATTTTTTAATTTAACTGCGGACTATTAAATATATTCAGTCAAATATTTGTTTCATCGGTTCTGGAAATTTGCTTTTTCTGATGCTTATATTATTGAGATTGAAGCTTAAAAAAACACG